GTGTGTTTGGACACACAAGGAATTTGTCTTGGTGCAAATGCTCTCAGTGTTCATAAAAGAAAAGATACATTCGTTGAGTGTCAAGAATCATAAGGTACAACACTTAATGATAGCCATAGGGTACAATAAGCAATCAAATCATACTAGGAAACAGTCAATATAAATCGTAAGGATACAGTCATACAGTCACAAGTGGGAGGGGATGAGTGATAAAGAGGGATGAGAAGATTAATAGTAATAGTAGTGCAGACTTTGTAAATAGTTGGACAGTGTTAAGGGAATTATTTGTTTAGTAGAGTGATGGTGTTCGGAGAAAAACTGTTCTTGTGTCTAGTTGTTCTGGTGCGCAGTGCTCTATAGCATTGTTTTGAGGGAAGGAGTTGAAACAGTTTATGTCCGGGATATGAGAGGTCTGTAAATATTTTCACAGCCTTCTTTTTGACTCATGCAGTGTACAAGTCCTCAATTGAAGGCAGGTGGGTAGTAATTGTTTTTTTCTGCAGTCCTAACTATCCTCTGAAGTCTGTGTCTGTCCTGTTGGGTTGCAGAACCAAACCAGACAGTTATGGAGGTGCAGATGATAGACTCAATAATTCCTCTGTAAGACTGTATCAGCAGCTCCTTGGGCAGTTTGAGCTTTCTGAGTTGGCACAGAAAGAACATTCTTTGTTGTGCTTTTTTGATGACGTTTTTGATGTTAGGTGTCCATTTTAGGTCTTGTGATATGATAGAACCTAGAAATTTGAAAGTCTCTACTGTTGATATTGTGTTGTCTAGTATTGTAAGAGGTGGTAGTATGGGAGGGTTTCTCCTAAAGTCTACCACCGTTTCTACGGTTTTGAGTGTGTTCAGTTCCAAATTGTTCCAGTTACACCATGAGGCAAGTTGTACAACCTCCCATCTGTATGCGGATTCTTCATTGTCTCAAATGAGACCAATCACTGTTGTATCATCTGCAAACTTCAGTATTTTAAATATTTTATGGACTCCACTCCACTCAAGAACAGATAAGCCTTCAGCAGTACAAAATACATGATCTATTTACTTTAGGATCACTAGATATTTTTCTGGGATTAAGCTGTAATGTTCAACATCCATCAGAACAAAGTCAGTTTTAACCAGTATTAAACCCTTAGCTTCCTACAGTCATGTCTATAGAAAGCTCCTGCCCCCAAAATGCTCTTTTTTAATCTTAATATGTTATTCTCTGGGGTTTTAAATTTCTTCCTTTAGACAACTGTGTATCTGCATTTCTCCTTTCTCCCATAAGCACCATGAGAATCTAATATGAGAATCTAAACTATCATCTATTCCTAATATATTCCTAACTCCCTAGCAGCAAAGTATAGCCTTGATAATTAGGAAAGAGCTATTTGGATATCTGCAAATACCAGCAAGACACTATGGAGGAAAGCAGTCTCGTCATAATATCCTAAATCATATAATGTATTTTATAAATTAGAAATCACATAATTTTGCTTTATAAAATATAAAGCACTTCTTTGCCAAGTAATCTAGCTTTATTTCAGGCCCCATGATGGTGGCCTTCTCTTGCCCCAGGTCATGATTTAAACCTATCACAGAACAAGATATAGAAGAGATAATAGAAGAAAACTAAGAAAATGCATTCTTATTTTAACAGCATCTTCCATTCCACACCAATTGCATTACATTAAGGTTCAGTAAAGCTGCAATACTCTTGGATTGTGCATGCTTGTGATTGTGTAGCATGATTTTTAATGCTTACTATAGAATTTCCTTGTAAAACTGCCCTCTTCCAACAGAATATTATTGTGGATCCTATCCAGTAGGTATGTAAACTAGAATTTATTTCAGCAATGTGAATCTTTTCCATATACCTTTATCTACACTATGACTACCTAATAGAAAAAAACCCAATAGTCAGCAATTGTCTGCATGTAGGTATTTATCGTACAAAAGATTTAAGAACTTAAAGCACTGTTTTTATTATTAATAATAATCCTACAACGGATCCTCAGAATAAAGTTATCATTCTATCACATCCCAAAATATTCTGTTATTGGAATGTAAAATATGTTATACATCTAAATCAATGAACCCTTCCAAGACACTGTTGACATACACAGGACACATTTGTGATGAGAAGAGTTGCTGCCTTCCTGACATTCTAGCAAAGATGTATAGCATTTCTGTCTGACATATTCAGAAGATTAAAGGTTCATTTTTAGTAGCAATAATTACACTGTGTGCCTCTAGCTGATATTTATTATTTATTAAATGTAATTTAAATTAGCACAAGACTAGAAGTTCTGTTTGAAGATAGACTGAACACTCAGAGTTGTATAGTATAGGGACTGGATTAGGAATGCAATCTCAAACTCCCACTCAGAAAGCATTTTCTGGGTAATTTGGAGCCAATCATGTATCTTAATGCCACCCATCTCATAGGACTGTTATATGGATAAAATTAAAGGGAGAAATAATATGTATATTGGCTTGAGCAAAAGGCAACAAAAGGCAACAAAAAAGAAATGGGATGATAAAAAGCTGAAAAATAGCAGGCATTACGGTATCATACTTTAGAATGTAGAAGATGTGGCCAATGATAAAACAGGTGCTTGCCAAGAATATTAAATTGTTGCAGTATGCTGAATCAGATATTAGGTTAGAGAGATACCCCTCATCCAATCAGTTTATTACACCTCAAGTCTTTCAGAGTCTTGCAAGTCTGAAGGTACTTGGAATTGTTCGTCAAGCTTTTTTCAGAATGCATTTAATACCCTTAATGTGCATCTTAATGCCTTCCCCCACCCCCTCTTTACCTTTGTCAGGTCAAGAAGAGAGCCTTAGGTGAGATTTTTTTTGACAGGTTTCAGTTCTGCCCTGGGCTCAGGTTGCTTTCATCTAACAGTAACAGTTCTGTTTGTAGTAGCAATTCCAATTATGTCTCAAGGCCATTCAGTTGATGCCTTTGTCAAATCCTGCCTCCTTTATCCTTTGGGATGTTGCTCCCTTCTTTCTGTACTTTTTGCCTTTGCACACTGCCTCTTGCTGCATTCTATTGCTTGAGCCTAATGCAGTGGTGGTATTCCAAAAAAAATTACTACCGGTTCTGTGGGCGCGGCCTGGTGGGAGTGGCGTGGCTTGGTGGGCATGGCAGGGGAAGGATACAGTAAAATCTCCATCCCCACACACTCCAGGGGAAGGATAGTATAAAATTTCCGTTCCCTCCCCACTCCTGGGGGAAGGTTACTTCAAAATTCCATTCCCTCCCCATCCCATTAACCTGCTTTCCAGTTCTGTTCTCCTGTGCAGGGCAACAAAAGAAGACCTAGCCGATTAGCTGGGACTCGGGAGGCAGAGAATAGATGGGGTTGGCAGGGTCAGTCAGAGGCAGTATTTGCCGGTTCTCCGAATGACTCAAAATTTCCACTACTGGTTCTCCAGAACTGGTCAGAACCTGCTGAATACCCCCGCTGAGCCTAAAATTTCTGTTGCTAAGCAAGACCACTGTTAAGTGAATTTTGCCCCATTTTATGACCATTCTTACATAGTTGTTAAGTGAATTACTGCAGTGGATAAATTGGTAACACGTTGTTAAGTGAATTTGGCTTCCCCATTGACTTTGCTTGCTGGAAGGTTGCAGATGATGATTGCATAACCTTGGGACACTGCAACTGTCATAAATACATGCCAGTTGCCAAGTATCCAAATATGTGAGTATGGGAATGTACAATGGTTATAACTGTGAAAAACAATAGGTCATTTTTTCAATGTTGTAACTCCAAACAGTCACTATACAAATGGTTGTAGACTGCCTGTAACTACAGTGCCACGAATTGAAGGTAAATTTCATAACCAGACCTGGCAATGGCTAAGAGAAAGAAAATTGAAGAAAAAAACAGAGCTAATTCTGACTGCACAAGACCAAGACTTAAGAACAAATGCATACAAAACCAGAATTGAGAAGACTGTAATAGAGAGCAAGTGCTGTCTCTGCAAAGAAGCTGAATCAACAGTAGATCACAAAGTTAGCTCTTGCAAGAAGATTGTACAGACTGACTACAAACAATGGTATGATAAAGTAGCAGCAATGGTGCATTGGAATATCATTAAGAAACTAAATTGTTCTGGGACTTTAAAATTCAAATGGACAAGCACTCTTACACTTAACAATTGTCAATAAGAGAGACAAAAAAAGTCTGGATAGTAGCAGTATCTGGAGTAGCAGAACAGAAAAAAAAGACTGGAGGAAATACATCAAACTATAACAACAAACTTTAATTTATTATTATGTATCAAACTTGTATGCCTTCTGAATCTCAATGACTCTGGATGGATGCCATCTATTCCTGCCCTCCAGAAGCAATGAGAAGCCCATTCTGGCAATAGGGCAAACAGAAATTATGGATTTGTCCTCACTTTTTGAGGCAGATGGGCAGTTCAAAATGTAAAAAATAAATAACATTAAAAAAATGGGAGGTTACCAGAGAACATTTGGTATCTGTACGCTTAATATGACCATTTCTAAATAACAAGATACAGTGAAAGAAGAATGCTTACTTTTTAAATTAAAGACATATTTTTAAAAAACCACATGTTGAACTTTTACTCACAATGCTTCACCTAACTCGGCATACTAAATTATTAAGTACTACTTTTGAAATCTAAATTCTGTGCAACAATGTCAGGTGTGATTCTAGTAATGCATTATTTTATTCAGTTTTTCTCTTTTTTCTGTTTTTTATTGCATTGCTTCTTATTTAATATTTGTACTGGTTTATTAAATGAGGAACAAAATGCTATTTTGAATGAAGGTTAATTAATTTTTCCTGAAATAAAAAGCCAGATCATATATCTTTTTCGCAGAGAGAAGGGGAAATGTAAGCCTTTTCACAAGAGCAATATCAAATAAAGCATCCCCTCTTTGTGTTCAAATGACACCTCCATTTAAATTCTATTTCTGAAGATCCATTTAAATACAAAATCTTAGACTTTTTTTTTCTTTGTTCATAAAGCCCCTGCCTCCCTGCCATGACTCAAAGGAATCTATGCAGGTGTTCAAACAGCATTGCCAAATAGCAGAAGAATACTATGAAGTCAAAAAAGAAATTGCACTGCTTGAAGAAAGAAAGTAAGTTTGTTTCTTCCCCTCATCTTACAAATACTAAGTTTGTCACAGAGTCATCAACTGGTGTGGTGATTTAACTAAGGTGAAATAAAAATTCAGTGCATTTGTCTCTGTGAATAGGTGAAACTTGTGCTTTGCATTGAAAGTAGCAAGAGTCATTTGTTGAGATTGACAGCTGTAGAAATGAAATAAACAAAAAAAAAACATAAAATATGTACTTTCCCAATGTGTCATGCCAAGACAGCACCTGGTCTGATTTTACTTATAGTGCAATAATTTTGAAAGTGCTTTAGAAACCTAGAGAAATGTTGGCATTCAAAGCATTAAGAATAAATTAAAATGTTACATCCAAGAACTTGGATTTACATTTGCAAATGAGAAAATTTTCATGACTTTAATTAACTAATAGAGAAACCAGTTTCCTTCAACCTGATGCTATGACGTATAGGACTATTGGATGATTTTTGGTTATAAAAAACTAGAAGAAACCATTTAAAACAAAATATGATGTTCAATTTTCACCCATCGAAGAGGAGATATCTGGAATAAATGAAAACATGTTTCTTTTCGATAACTAGATATGAATTTGTTTCCTTTAGGAACTGATTCAGTAAATTTGTGCAGTAAATTTGAAAACAGTAAGACATATGTGATAAATATATTTAACTTACTAGTATTAGAAGGAGTCATGGTTGTTGGATGGAACCAATAATACTCTGGAGGTAGTTTACACCACTTGACTTCAAATATTGTTTTAGGTTCAGATGGCTAAAAATCTCCTTTTAGCTGTGAATTTGTTTTTCTATCTTTCTAACGTGTTCCCTGATCAGTAGGAATAAGCATTGTTGTGCAGGGAAGGCCCCATTGAACAGACAATCCTAGTCAGATGCTGGTGGAAGGTAATTCAGCATGCTTCCTCCCCTCCTTTCTCAAGTACAGTATCACAAATCCAAATACACACAGCATCCTCTATACACATACGTGCAAACGTATGAAACAGGTGAAGTCATTTGCAGGACAGCACAAAAAAAGAAGTTATGGTACTTAAATTTTTCAGTGGTTTCCTGTGTCAGGGAGCAAGTGTGTCAAGGAGCAAGGGAGAGACATAGCACAGTATTGCCTGGCTTTAGTGCTTCTCCTCTGCCTCTCTTTTTCATGGTTAACACTGGTAATAAAAATTCAGCTCTTGTTTTATTTGTATCTGATAAAGAGCTTCACTGAAAGTTTGGTTTTGAACTTATATTTCTTTATTGTTGATTTAAAAAGGGAAGAGTTATTGTAAGTATTTAACTGAAAAGATGTATTGATTGTGGAAAACTATGGCCTATAAACTGAAAAATGACTACCTATACGATGGATACAACCCATTTTCTCAAAAAGCAAAGCAAATGCTTAGGAACACTGGAATATATATATATATTAATGGCATTGTGTCTCTTAATCAGAATTTGGATAAACTCAGCATTAGATGTTTAGTTTTATCCTTTAGTATATATTAATATAGTGTATGTTAAGCTTCAAATGAGTAATTTGTTACCAATACTTATCATACTATCACTGTTGTTAATTAAAAATAGAACTTAGAACTAATGATTAAAAGATCCTTCAGACCTGTCCATAGTTGCTTTCCACTAATAACAACTGCAGCAGGGGTATCTGAAAGGGGGAGAAATCCGGAGATTATACAAAGAATGTATATAAATACTATACATACATACATGCGTACATACATATATTATGAGACAACTATTTTTTCCTTTTAATTCAAATTTACCTACAACTAACAGTGAAATTATACACAACGGATTTGTTACCAGGATGAGCATTTGATTGCTATACTGAACACACCAACTTGAGTCTTCCCAGGAAAAACATTCATGCATTTTCTAGCAATTGATCCTTTCAGAAAGCAATTCTCCCTTTTCTTCTTTAATTCATGAATCTTTGAATCCAAGCCAAGGTATCTGTGTTCATATTTAATATAATCTCGGAAAATAAAAGACACTTAATTTTTGTTTTCCTTTTCAGAAAAGAGTTGATCACTAGGCTAGATGAAGCTGAGAAAGAGAACAAGGATGCTGCACAATTAACGAAGGAGTATGCAGATCTGACAGAAGAGAACCGGACACTGAAGTTGACCCAGACACAATGTGTTGAACAGCTGGAGAAGCTTAGAATACAGTATCAAAAGAGACAGGGATCATCATAACCTGAATCAACATATCTGGGCCAATAAAAAATGCAAATCTTGAGTCTGCTGGGTAAATGGATTTTTTTTCTTTCCCTGTCTCAAAGATTCCTTCTAAAGGGTTGGAACACTTAAACTTGCAGACTACACAAGCATCTATATTTAATGTAATGCTTTCCAGCCACTAGCTAAATGTGGATATTGGATATTTTATTTCAAGTAGCATAGTTAGAGGCTTATCAGTCCCTATTATATATGCAAATGGATCAGGTTTCTGTTCTAAAGATATTTCTTTCAATTTTAAGAAGGTTTAAGTGCATTACAAACTGGTATGAGTCATCTCTGTTGGAGGGTGGATTACACTAGGTTATATGGCAGGAAGAATGTTAAAATGGTGCCTGTCTTCTCAATTTGAACCAAGAAAACTGGGAGAAAAACCAGTCTGTTATCTAGCAAGAGAGATAAAAAGGTACTCAAATATGAAAGAATATTTAAAAGTTAGCAACACTGTACCTAAATCACTTTGTCAAGCTGCAGCTAAAAAAATTACAAATAGTAACCTTCAATATATTTAATAATATTTCAGTTCTGAATAGATTCTCTTAGAATTTCAGTATAAATTGACAAGGTAATATGTACATTGTTAAACAATAAAGGGACAGATTTAAGTTGTACAACAGTATTAAAATTCTTAAAAGTAAATCCTGTTGATTTTAATGGCATTTTTAGTTTGAAATTTAGTTAGGATGCTACCCAGGCATTATTCCCAAATGAAGACTTGAGGATTTTATATTTGATGTCAAGTTCAAAATGTAACAAAATTGACTACTATACATTTTTTAGAAAGAATTTGAAATTGTTACCCTTTCTGTGTATAGCATAAGTAGTCTTTTAGTTGTGATTTTATGCAAGGTCATCCCTATTAACACTTGTGCTACATACAAAAATCAACATACATTTCAAACAACATATGGTTGCGACCACCCGCTAATTAAAAGCACTGCTCAATGTGTTGTGAGAATCAGCCTGTTCCAAGAAAGTGCATATTCAAACCACATTGGATCAGTTTGTTTCCATTTCTCTTTTTTGTAAAAGTATCTTCAATACCACAAAGCAATCAGAATTATAACGGTCTGAAACTTTTTTTCAGACCAGGAAAAGCACACAATTATTTCAACAGTATAACAAAGTAATTAGTATACATTTCTATGAGAGTAAATTGATAAAATTTACAAAAGCAAATTTTATCAGTACTTTTGTTCCATCTTCCTTTCCCATACAGTCAAATAGGGTTAAAGATTAGCTACAGAAAGAATTCTCAAAATCCTCCCCCGCCTTTCTCTGCCAGCCGAACTACGAGGACTCTATTCCACCAATGACAATTAAGTATGTCAAGACAGTCTATGAACTATTTTCTTCTGATTTGGTCATAAACTGAATTATCAATGTGGTTTACACAAAGAAGCATTACAATCATCATTGGAATAGGCAAAAAATGCCCACTGAAGAAAATATTTTTGCTAGTTTTGTTCATGGTGATGTTAAAACTTATGTTGCTGTAAAATAACCAACTTAAGAAAGTTTGTCTTTTACTTTATAAAAATCTATTGTCCTGAGGCTTCAGAAACTGTAGAAATGTAATATGATATAGTACATACGTGCATGTCAGGTACAGAAAAAGAATGTCATCATCATATCCTTCTAGAATTATAGGTTGAGGATTAGTCCAAACCAGGATTTGTATAGAAATGTATATGATTCTGAATACACGTAACTTTAAAATAAAACCAGTAGTATTAAATTAGCACATGAAGCTAGGATCAAGAATCTAGAAATTATTTGTAAAAAAAAAATAGAAAAGTAACAGAGATATGAGATGAATAATTTTATTATATGATTGTCTGTTGGAATTTCAACCCTACATACACATGACTTAAAAGTAAATTCAGGTTGGGATTTGCTTTCTGGTAATTTGTTTAGGCTTATCATGAAAAAAGTGGTTTAGTCTTACATCCACATTTTGATGAACTTTTTAGAAGAAATGGCTGATCTTAGATAAATATTTTAAATGTTTCACTTCCTTCTTTTTCTCCACATACTTGTTTTCCTTGAATCAGCAAAAATGTCTTTGTTATATTGCTGTTGTATTCGCACAGTATTTTTTTCATTAAAAATAATTTTAAAAAACAAGCTTATTCCTGAATTTCATTACTCTGCCTAAAATGTTGAACTACTCAGATTCTAGATAGGCACAGACTCTGGTAGCATCTTCAAAACTAGGCATCTTTATTGGAGTAAAAGCATCCACTTCAGTGGTGGGATTCAAATTTTTTAACTACCAGTTCTGTGGGCGTGGCTTGGTGGGCGTAGCAGGGGAAGGATACTATAAAATCTTGTCAGAGGTGGTATTTGCTGGTTCTCTGAACTACTCAAAATTTCCGCTACTGGTTCTCCAGAACTCGTCAGAACCAGCTGAATATCACCTCTGATCCACTTCATAATAAGAATAGCCTTCAAAGTCTTATCAGATCTGTATCTTTTTTGTTATCATGGACTTATAAAATTCCTCACTCCCCACACCAAGTTTTCTTTTCTCCACAGTGAAAAACATCAAATTTAGCTGAATGGACACAAATCCACAAATCTTACCAAAGCTGAGCCCAGATAGCCATCTAATAAAGTGCAGTTCTAATAATGTTGCAATCAAGTTAGTTAGTCTTTTGGATGCTATTAAAGCCAACTGAACCTCATAGTTGGCTTATACCATTGTAATATTAAATAAAATTGATAAAAATTAACGTATTTTATTATTGAACCAGCATTTAAATTCCTATTAGTTGGCTTAACGTATTGCAATAAGAAGTGGTTGGGTTTTTTGAATAAATCAGATTAAACTGCACTAAACTCTGTTATGGTTTCATATGATTTGATACCCGCCTATATTATGGTCTTTTAATTTTTATTTGACTATATTAAATAATAACAAAATAAAAACACTGATGCATACACCATGGTATACTTTGGAGTCAGCTACAGGGGTTGGGACTGGGTGGCACAATTTTGAGCTGGTTCAGCTCCTTATTCCAAGGCCTGTGCCAATCAGTGTTGATAGGGAGAGGTACTCTCTTCACTTATTTTGGACATTTACATGAAACCCAAATGACTTAGATCTTTGAAAATGAAAGTAAGAACTACATTTCTTGCAGTTCTTACAGGAAGGAAGGAAGGAAGGAAGGAAGGAAGGAAGGAAGGAAGGAAGGAAGGAAGGAAGGAAGGAAGGAAGGAAGGAAGGAAGGAAGGAAGGA